AACTAAAAGATAAAATAAGATATATCAACATAAGAAATTAATGAAAAATGTGTTAAACAGTCTGATGAGGATGATTAATTGTATAATCTTACAAGCAAATTTAGCTAGACAGACTGGATGCAAACCCCAATCTAGAATACAAGACCAGCATTCCCAGCTTTTTTCTCTCATTGAATATTGTCCCCACATACAGACAGAAAGTGGAGATTTGCAAGCAAGTTGACAAAAAGGACAATAAAAATCAGACACACACAAACCTTATCAAGGTCTCCTCGCTCACACACTCTTCGTTCACACACTCTTTCAAAGGATATCCAGTCCAGTTTTATACTGGACACATCATATTTCTTAACCTGCATGTGCAGCACCAAACTCTATTTTTGATTAAAAAAAATAACTCAACCTGGATCCACTGATTTAACCTGCTTCTCTCACCCATCAATAAATAAGGGCTTCTCAAAAGGCTACTGTGGTGGATTCAGGTGTGTAGGTGACACATTTTGAATGTCATGTTTTTCTGAGTCCACTTTAAATAACAATAGGTGAAATTCATATCAAGAGCACAAAACGCTGCGCAATACTACAACTAATTGCATGATTTTAATTGGGTATTTTACTTGCATAGGATACAAATCAGGCTTAACCTTTTTATTCGTATTCGCCTATTTTAGATAAAATGCTTGCCTGTGTCCTTCACGTAAAATTCTCTACATTATTGTCTTGATTGTGAAAGCTTGTTTTCACGTAACAAGGCTACATCTGATTTAATTAATTTTCGTTATAACGCCTCAAGAAAACCATTGCAGAAGATGTCGTTAAATAAAACAGATCTTGTATATTGTATTTACTCAAAACGGTTACAGCGAAAATCAAGGGGCTGTCATTTGCAAACGATTACTATATTGCTCGGTTGTTTGTGGAGGAAGAATATGTTTTACACAGTCACACACACTGTTTGGTCCAACATAAACCGTTACTGGCTACATAAAAAGTGCAGAACTAATAATTTTCGCATTATTCGTTAACAACCCAATAATGTGCCAACACATTTTTCTATGACGAACCGTCAAGATAAAAAATGTTTTTTAAATCATATTTACATGTGTTTCTTTATTCGTGTAATCACTTTACACCCCGAGACCATCAGTCTTGTGCCATGCGGCCCTGATACAGACTGAGTCACCGGGTCGGCAGGCTGGCTCTCAGAGGAGCTCCATTCATTACCCGGAGCGTCCATTAGCTGTATTACAATTACAGGCCGCGAGCCGCTGCTGTTTCCCGGCTGTATCACGGGGTTACGCAACAATCAACGGAGGCACTTTGGCCGTAAACACTGATGTAAGTCGTAAACAAAAAGGTGTAAATTAACTTACTGGAATCCATAGACTGCTGGAATCTTAAACAAATACGTGCAATAAAGAGGAAATACATGTTGTTTCTTAAATAAAGACATACGTTTTTTTTATTTTGAACCTTCTGGAACATAAAAATATAAAGAATGCTCAAGTAGCAAATCTATAAATTAGCTCAAACTGTTTGTTGGAATTACTATATAATATACATAAAATACACTTTGTCGGTTTAACCCCAAACCAGAGTCAGTAAAACATTATATGATTATTTTAGGAATATGACCCTCTCTTGTGATTTTTACATAATATTTTATTTTTAAAATACTGGGGGTAATTGTCTTTTAGAGATAAGAAAGGAGACTATTCAGGTTCAGTTGGTGCTTTCCTTTTAGCCCTTCCCACTTCCTTTTCCTTATTGAGGACTCCTTATTGGTGTCTTTTCTTAAAAAGCTACATAATATGCTGCAAATTAATTTATTAAATACAAAATTAATGTTTACAATTAGCTCAATGCAGAACTGAATTTGTCTTCATCTTTCTTTATATAACTCGTGTCGGATTGTTGTTGCAGTACATTTTAGCTGACAGATAATGCAACCTATTTGATTTCTAGAATTGTTTTCTTTTTTTTTCCTTTACATATTTCCTTTCTTAAACTATTTCAGAAATCAAACATATTTTGGATTAAGCATCAGCTCCGTGGGGGAGGAACCAATTGATTATAAAGAGACCCAGACTCTTTGCACGGAGAAAGGGCCCCCTGTTGTCTGAAACCAGCTCCTCTAACTTCCCAGAGTGCAGGGGCCCAGAGGCAGGGCTGTGAGGACTGTGTGCTGCAGTAAATGTCTGCAGAGCGACTCCTCTGAAGCGGCAGTGGTGTGGGTGGTGAGGAAGGACTTGTAGGATACATTAAATCAGCCTGATTAGGAGTTTTAGGCGAGGGCAAGGCTCAGGTCTGACTGAAAGGCTGCCGGGCAGCCCTTGAGTGATACTATTCACATCCTGGGAGAAAGGTCAGTGTCAGAGGAGTTCACAGGCCCCATCCCCATTCTTATGCTAAAAGATCATATACGGCTCATTCAGGGGCTGGAAAGGCATAGACAGCTTCTACCGACTTTCCCTCCAAAATGTTAGGATTCTCATCTTAAGCTCTGAGGTCCTGCCTCTATGTTTCTCTCTCTTGCTCGTTCTGAAGTTTTTAATGTAAGATTATTGAACAAAAATTAATCCATCAATGTCTATTTTCATCTGAGCTTTTAAGAGAGTAAATCAAGTTAAAGTTGTTGGTATGTTATGTGGCATAATTTTTTTCTAGATTTTCAAAACCTTTCTCTCTAAATCAGACTCAACCAATGACTTAAATATGGGTTTTCTTTTTTTTTTCTCCCTCCGTTAAAAGCTCCTTAAAAGTGAACCTACTGTTCTTTATCTTAAAAGCTCCTTAAAAGGGAACCCACTGTTCTTTATCACCTTGTATCTGTTGTTCCAGTCACTCCTCTTTAACTTGTAACCAGCTTTTATTGACTTCCTGTAAATGAACTTGTTTAGGCGTTTTCCTGTCCGTACCCGAGTCCAGTGGTCAATGGGGAATTGCAGGAAATAGCCACTTAATTAGCGGCCCTTGACCTTTTGCTTTGGCTCCTGACCTCAGCGCCTCTCCAGCCTGTTTAAAGCCCTCTGGGGGACTGTCCAGATCGTGCCCCCTGACCCCCTGCTGACCTGTAGGGACTTCACCAACAGGTCCCTGACCAGCCGTCACGCCTCACAGGACACTCATCAAAAAGCAATATTTAACCCAGGAAGCCCATTCAAGCAACTAATGCATGGAGGACGACAGGACACTGAAGCTGTCATCAATAACCATGGGGATCTTGCATGTGTTTGCAGTGAGAAACAGAAAAACACCCAAAAAAATGTATGATGAAAATCAAACCAGTGTAAACGTTTAAAAAAAAATCAATTGAAACCTTTGGGCCATGGTTCCATAACCCCTCTACAGGATGATTTCACTAATTGGTTTGCAGTCATCCAGAGGGGGGGAACTAATCATCTAAATCAGCCGCTGTAGCGTTTGGATGGATTGAAAACATGCTGACTTCCGCATGGCCCTCCATGTGTGAGGCGTCCCCTACATGAGTGTGATTTTGGATTTAAGCAGACGTGGTTTTACACTTTGTTCACTCTAACTTATTTTTACATTACATGTTACTTGTTAGACACTTTTATCCAAAGCGACTTACATACTCAATACTGTGGGCAATCCCCACAGGAGCAATTTGGGGTGAAGTGTCTTGCCCAGGGACACAACGACATGCTGACTGCAGTGGGGTTTGAACCTGTGACCCCCAGATCCGAACACCTACGGACAACCCACTACGCCACACGCCTCCCCGCGCGTGACTCAATTCTTTGTTCTTAATGCCTTGGTGTATATAGTAATTAATAGTCTACCTTTATTTGTGAGCTGCTGCAATTACTTAAATCAGTAAAGTCCCTTTTATCTTAATCTCACTTACATAAAGAGATGTTTTTATCCTTTATTCATTTCAAATGCAAAAGTGTTTGTTTTTTTCCCTGTGAATTGCACTACTGATTTGTAATTCAAATGAATGTTGGCATATCTAGAGTTTGTAGCTCCGACTCATACATTCAGCATTTAATTCAATTATATAATGTAATGAAAGGTTTTAACTATTGACCTGATATAAACTGTTTCATTGTTTGAAAATAACCTTAAATATAATGTATAGAATATTTAATTGAAAACACAAAGCTGTCACCCTTTCACATACGTTTCGGTCTTCTCTGTTACTTATGCAAACTTAGTTAATTTTCAAAAAGAGGCTTAATTCCGCACTCAGCTGTAAATAATGTAGACTGGTTTGTTTTTAAAGCGATTTTTCTTGTTTCCAGATAGACGCAAATAATCCCTTGTTTACCCTGCGTGTGTCCATCTGTTGTTTGACTCCGGTCACAGATCAGTCGGACACTGATTGAGGTCCGACTGACACCAGGAAGGCCTGTAATCCCCAAACCTGATTAATCGTCCCATGGTGGGCAGTAATAGATAATAATTTAACCTAAACAACACAGTGGTTTTATCCAGATTATACAATTCTCCTTTCATTTTTTTAGACCTTCATTTTTTTGCAGTGAAAATCTGCTAAATGTGATTGTATCATGCTTTAAACATGTGTCTTTTGAGATGTTCATGGTGAATAAAATATGAGGGGAATAAATGAAATCTTATTATATATTTTAAAAGTGGGCAGGGTCATTTTGTCCACTGAGTTTTGTGGCTGATGAACTTTTCTTTCCCACACTGATTCAGCACACGTCCCTCTGTCTGCTCCTCCTAATTAAAACTTAATGTGAGGTCATTCAAATACGATCTTCACACACATTAACATGTGACTTAGAAAATGTCCTGCACACATGACTCTTTAAAACATTGTCTATTTTATATCGATTGCAATGTATTTTATTAAAGATTAAAGACTATAATGCTGTTGGAAATATTCTTTGTTAAAAACACATATATTTACAATCTCAGCAGTATAATATTTCATTGTAATAACTGATGTTTCCTATTTCTATCACTGAAATAAAACACCCTTTTGCCCAAAAACAAGACAATCAAATTTGATATATATGTTCATTATTTTTATTCAAAATCATACAAACAATAAACCATTTAAAATGACAAGAATGTGTGAATATCATTTCATTAATCATGATGAGTTGACAGACATGAAATCATGGTATTTATATGCATAGCAAGCATTAGTTGTGCATTTTAGGCATACAGTTATTTAACATCTCGTAAGACTCTCCCCTTTGGGCGGCTGAATATCTGAAATCATATTGTGTCTCTGCTGACGTCATCTTTGAATTTGGTCCACAATGTCCAACAGCAGGTTCATAAAGAAAGGCGTGCAGGTCCTGTCCCATCCTGCGGAAAAACATAAAAGGGAATTATTAGCAAGAGGACAAAGATTTGTTTTCCACAACAATAATACATGTTTCTAGGATAAGACAGTATTGACAATGTAACTTAATTAACAACGAGAACAAAAAACATTCACAATAAAATCAACATTTTAATCTGTAAAGCATTTCAGAGATTATAAAGTACTGCCATACAAAACTGTCTATCAACCAGTATGAAAACGGTAATAATGAAATTATTTAGTCTTTAGTTTGGTTATTTGAAAATGCTGATGTGTATTTTTTGACAACACTGAATTTGTTGTTGTGCATTTGATTTTAGTTTTGTACATCAGAAATTGTACGCAGTGTTTCAGAAAAACAAACTTCCTTTTCATGCCCTGTAGAAACAGGCCCCTGCTCTCTGCGTGTTGTTCTTCTCTCCCATTTTCAGGCTGTGTGCATGGAGGGATCTTAAGGCTTTTATCCCCACAGGGAACCAGCCCCAACTCTTTCTCTGTCAATTTTCACCCACTCCCCAATTCAGACGAGCCTTTTCTCCCACCAACCCCACAATGAAGGATTTGTCCTCGTTCTCTTTGTCCACCTCTGATATCTTTTTTTGACTGCTCCCTCTCTGCAGACAGCATGCAGCGTATGCAAATACACACTCTTTTATTCCTGAGACCCCTCCCCTTAATGAATGCAACCTTAAATGAGGACACACTTGCACACATTTACAGACAGGGCATGGAAACATGCACATATTACAATCACTGGATTTGCATGCCCTCTCCGACATGCAGTCACTAAAACATCAAATACTGGCAATTTGGAAATAAGCAGACAGAAATATATTCTGTAACGGATAAAACTGATTATTCATATATATGTCTATACATGCAGTTTATCCAGACAGATGGATAACAGAAAATAAGACACGAGAGTGTAGGTGTGGGACACAGAAAAATCTAGTCTAGTTTAAGACTAGAGTTATCATTTATTTGGGAATCTTTTTTGTGGTAAAGGGTTTTTTCTGACAAGAGTTGTTTAACCATACTAATTGTCAATAGTGTTTTCTAAGCCCACAAGTCAAGAGCACCAACACACACACAATGGGTGTTGAGATGTGTTGGATGAGGTTGAAAAATGAGACACAAATGGTTTAACACAATAGTGGGTCTGAACTGAGGAAGAGGTGCAGACTGGTAATGTGTCACTCTAACGGCTGGATGAATTATAATGGTGTCTGATGAACATAAAGCGTTCTCTCGCAGCTAACATTCCCAAGCTGGCCCGTGCCATCTGTGAGCATGTGTGAAAGGGTTTGAGTCAGAGTGTGTGTGTGTGTGTGTGTGTGTGTGTGTGTGTGTGTGTGTGTGTGTGTGTGTGTGTATGTGTGTGTGTGTGTGTGTGTGTGTGTGTGTGTGGTGGGGGGTTGACGTCTGCTGGACGGCTCTGACAGTTCGGCCTTTTCAGTCGAACATTACTGAGCCAGCCAGCCTCTTTCCCATAGCAACCCTAACAGAGGTCAAAGGCTATGTACCTCCATCCACCACCTCCTCCTCCTCCTCCTCCTCCTCCTCCTCCTCCTCCAGGGTGGCCACAGACAGAGCTGCTGCACCCATGAACTTGAACTTGATTTCTGACTGCGTGATGGAGTCGTATACACTGAAAGAACCTGAAACATTGACTTTAATTAAATGTATTATGTCAACTATTTCACTTAACTGTATTAAGTTAGTTGAAGCCATAATATTAAGTTGAACCTAATATACATAATACATTTGATTTAAAGGTGGGGTAGGTAAGTTTGAAAAACCGGCTCGAGATACACTTTTTGTTATACTCCATGGAATGCTCTTAACATCCCGATAGCAATGAATATCTTAAGTGCTTTGACAAAAAATCCATAAAAAAATGTCATCTGTGGAAGCCGTAGTACTGGAAAAAGTACGACCAATCATTTTAGCCGGCCCGGCTAAAATAACCGGATGGTCTACCTGCCTGTCAGCCTTCCATCTGTGCACAAACTTATCTCGTGCCCTCATTGGTCATGTGCGCGTTCGTGTGTGTTGGAGGAGGGGCTCTATAAGGAAGTGGCAGATTTTCTCCGGTTGTGTATTTTCAAATTCTAGCGATCTCGAGCCGGTTTCTCAAACTTACCTACCCCACCTTTAAGTCAACGTTTCAGTTTTTTCAGTGTATCATCTGACTTTATTCCAACTTTTCTCCTCTTTCCACCCTTTACCCTCGTATCCAATTCATGTACTGTACCAGTAGAATAAGGAAAGAAGTCAAAATGAGGTCACACCAAGGATTCCCCTTAATACTCCTCATTCTCATCTTCTCCTGATGTGATTACAAAGGCCGCTGTATTAAAGGCTCAGTCACCTAATTCTCCTCTACTTTCATTGGAGCATACAGGACCCCTACTCAGGGACACCACAGCCAACAGACGTAATCTGAAAAGCCTGGGATGTCGAAACTTCTCTCCATCTTCCTCTAAGATACTTAATGTCAGGCTTTGTGCTAGATTAGTCTCGGACAAAGTTGCATTAAAACACACCAGATGAGCCTCGCTTGACCCACATTGGACTCCAGCCAACACTATGGGCGGCGGGTGAGCCGGGCTTTATACATCACAGCAGAGCCGTTAAAACATTAATAGAGTCTACACATAGTGAGGAGGGTCCTAAGAGGTAACCCAGGAGCTATATAGTATTAACATTTTATCTACTATGGCTACGCTGCTTCACCAGCACAGAATTTAAACTGGGTGGCGGCTACTGTCACTTTATCATGTCACACATAATAATTACCTTGTGCTGAAAATCTCACACGGTAAAAAGGAATGCATAGCTCATAATGAATAACAGAGGAGAAAAGGAAGAAGCAAAGGAAAGTAATCATCTATTTTCTGTCATTTTCTGGAGGGGAAAAACATTTCTCTGTCATTTTTCAAGGTATAAGAAGATATTGAAGAATGTATCACTAAGTCACTGTGTCTATAGCGTGCAGAGGGAAACTCAGGGACGTTTACATCCTAAATCCTCCTGACATGGAGTCAAAGCCGCTGACCTCACTGTCCAGACAATCTTGATTGAAAACTATTGTCTGTTTCAGAGCAGATTAAAACCAGACTCTTAATCAGTTTCACCAAAGTGTTTATGAAGAACACAAACTCACATTAAGCTCATCTTGATATTTTAATTGATTTAATGTGATGTCAACCTGCGTATTGCATCAGAATTAAAGATCCGGGAAAGTCTGTGTGCATGTGTCTCATTTTACATCCTCCAAATACTATAAATAGTCATTGTTCTTCTAGCAGGCGTAGAGAAGACAAATACATTTTCCTAACGGATTTCCTTCAGTCACCGCCTCTCTTTGACCACGCTGTCTCTGTCGACTGCCGCAGCTATCACATACAGTTGCAGACCGACCCCTTACTCTTATTCAACACACACACACACACACACACACACACACACACACACACACACACACACACACACACACACACACACACACACACACACACACACACACACACACACACACACACACACACACACACACACACACACACACACACACACACACACACACACACACACACACACACACACACACACACACACACACACACACACCTTTCAGGCTGTATATTTAGCATAGCAATGCACAAGCTAACAGACGCTCAGCAAACGCAGAGGTAACACTGGTGACTCATAACATGGCTGCCCATGTGCTACACCTGCCTCTTGTGCCTCCTCTACATACACGTATAGTATTTGTCTCCACCGTCTTTAACCCTTTCTTGATAAGCCAATCTGTAGTTTGACTTCATTTTCACCCCCCCCCCCCTTGCCCCTTTGTTTTCTTTAACGTTCTATGCAGATCTTCAACAGGAACGTAGCATAGCAAGCTACAGTACCTCCAAGATTAATTTCTCTGCTTCACCTTGCTTTCTCCCTTCTGACAAATCTGCCTGAAGCTGTGCGCTGTACAGTATATCACAGATGAGCAGCGCAAATGCAATTATAAAGACAGTTCTGAGTCTTTCATATGAATAAAAAGAGGGAATAATCTTCTGACATGTGGGCTGAGCATGCTTTACATATTGTGTGGAGGCACATGTACAGTATGAGGATCATTAATAATCATTATCCACGGGGTTACATCATTCAGCTTGTTAGGCACACCCATCGCCTCAGCTGAGTCATTCTCGGTGATACACAACTGTCGTGGGAGATTTTCACGATGGCTGTCTTTTCTTACCACGTGACAGCGATACAAATATGTAGATTGTGTTTGCAGGAAGGACAAATCATATCCAGCTGCTAAATTGAGCATAGATAAAGAAGTACCTGGTGGATGATGGGCCCACTGGGTAAAATAAAATCAGGTTTTCCCTGTGTAAAACGTGAAGAAAATACACCTTTGTGGTGCTGATAAGTCTTTGCCTTACGTGTTTGATAGAATCTAATGTTAAGGCGTGATCCGCTGTGTGACAAGCCTGAGCATCTATATGCATATCATGTATGAATGCTTCTCAAAACAACATCTACATGCCTTTCAGACATGCAGAGGAGGCTGAATAGACTAATGAACAGTCAGGTGGCACTCCAGGGCCTGGACTACCACCCCCCCATCACACACATATCAAACACACATACACTTGCTCACACATTAAAACTCAGCGGCTCGCCCGACCCCGGTGATCCGCACGACAGTCTAATGTCTCAGGCATCTGCTCATGTCTAGTCTGGAGGGCCGTTCCCACCCTGCCCCCCAGCACAGGCCTGCCGCAGCACCAGCTCCCACAATGGTGGGAACGCAGGCCCTTACGGAGGGCGGAGGTGGGGGTGGGGATGGGGGACTAAACAGCTATTGAGAGGGGAAAGAGCGAGAGAGCGGGGCTGAATGATAATGTGAAAACGCACGGCACTGTTCATTAACACACAGGCACTGCAGCTGCACATGTTGGCCCTGGACACACACGCTCACGTGTCTCTTTTTTCTGCTTCAGGTTGCAGACAGAGCCACCAGGGTTACAGAGCAGCTCCACGCCACGATTAACAGCGTTCCCAGGATCTGTGTGTGTGTGTGTGTGTGTGTGTGTGTGTGTGTGTGTGTGTGTGTGTGTGTGTGTGGTGTGTGTGTGTGTGTGTGTGTGTGTGTGTGTGTGTGTGTGTGTGTGTGTGTGTGTGTGATGTGTGTGTGTGTGTGTGAGAAAGAGCGGTTACAGGGATAGTAGTGGTGTAGAATTGGAGCTTTGATATTTGGCAGTTGCTGGCAGATTTTGGAAGAATGGGACATTTTTACATCCGTGATGTTTGACATTTGTAGTCTGTGTGTGTAAAAGTTCACGTGTGCAGCATTGGAATGTATTGCTTTTAAACTGAGAGTTATAATGAATATAAAATGTTAAGGACTGAATGCATAAGAAAACACAAGCCCAAGCATATAACCAGTATTTAAAGTGTTTTAAAAAAAAGCCATTTAGATGGCTCTGGTGAACACCATTATATAAATATAGTAAACTGCTGATTTTCAGTGCGGAAATTAGCACGCGAGGAACTGCTTTGTGAGCAAATATCTTAGTCATAAACATAATCAGAGATTGTAATGATTCTTCTTTCAAAAACAATAATGCTTTTCCATGAATAGGAATCTTCCGGGTATCCTCTCCTCGACAGAATTAACCCAAAGGGGTTCTTCAAATTTAGATAGTTAAGATGCTGTACTAAATATCCTAATGTGAATCTAATAATAAAAGCATTTTTTTTGGATGAATCTACATGGTTTGCCACGTGGAAACACGACATACAGCGCTGCCTGGTGTGCATTGGGGAGTAAAGAAGCACCATGACGAGAGAGGATGGCAGGTTTCCTTCAACCAGTGCCAGCTCATTAATTTTGTTTGCTACCTAGCCCCCCCTCCCCCTTTCCCACCACAAACTACCACCCTTCCTCACCCACCTCCCCCTTCACATCACCCCTTAACTGCTAATTAGCAGGAGCAGAAGATAGAAGAGAGAAGGGAGAGGCCATGTGTGACTGGGGAGGAAATGGGAAACTCTTCTTCTTTTCCTCGTCCTTCCTCCTGCCCCCCTTCCCCCATCACACAATCACACCCCCACCTCCTGCCCACCACCATCATCACCACTGGTACCCAACAGAAAACCATAATGCAGCTCACCTCGTATGCCAGCCCAGCCATTTTAGGTTTCGCGGCAACGTTTCTTAAGATGGCTCCTCTGAGCACGCCCATACTCCAGGGATCCGGCAGGCTCTTTGTCCGCCTCCTGGCACGGGCAAAGTGTCCCCCGTTGGCAGTGCAGATGGCATTAGAGGCTCTTGGGCAAAAAGGGTGAGAGTGGGGGAGGGGAGAGGAGGAGGTGGCAATTCCGGCCCAACCGTTTTTTCTCTCTCCTCGTTTTCTTTTAACGATGGTTTGCCCTCTTTTCAGGAAACAGCGTTCATTCAATGATGTTAATCGGAAGTCTGTAGCAAGAGCAGATGGAGGAGAGAAAACAGAGGAATAAAACATGAAAAGAACAGTCAGCACTTTGACTTTTCAGTATAGCTAAACACAGCTTTCTTTCTTTCTTTACACCAGCAGTACTTTATTTGAGTTCTGAGTAGTAGTAAGAAGTTAATACAACTTTTACATCTCTAACTAGCTCTTCAATGCACAGTGCAGCACCCTTGTTCTTGTGTGTGCGTAAGTGTTTTTACAATAACAGCACAAAAAGAAACATTTGCATTATACATGTACACAGGGTGGAAGAAGAATGGCTTTGGACCATCCCATAAATAAAGCTTCAAGTGTTTCTACTCCCATTCATTAAGGAGGCGCACCATGCTGACACGCTACCTATAACAGGCAAAGACTCGGACCACGGCCTTTTCACATATCCAATATCTCGCTGTGAAACGAAGCAATTAGCCCGGTTTGACAGTGAGCTGTACTGCAATAAGAGAGTGAATGAAAACTCATCTTACTTTCGTGCTCTTTAGGCTTTAGTGGCATTCTCCGGGCTGAGCGTATGCACTGCTCAGTGCTCAAGTACCAAGTTAAAAAGTTCATCTCCTGTCTACAGGATGGCCTTGGCCTTCTCATTGAGGCAAAACACAATGTATCCCAAAGGCTCCAAGATTAGCTACAGCTTTAAATACAGACGCCAAGTGTTTTTCTTAACCCTGTGTGTGTAGGTAGCTACACCACTCAACTGCATCATTAGCAGTCTTAGAGCCATTAGTACCTGGACAAAGCAGTAGCCTTCCCTTTCTTTTTAACAAAAAGGTGACATTTAAATGCATCATAAATTGAAAAATCTCCTTATAAATAAAGCAGTATGCTTTACAATGATGAATATAGGAGGATCTGCTTTCTAAAAATAGAAATATTGTCTTTGCAGCACTGTGTGAGTCCCTAAGCAGGAACCTCCGAGATGAGAGGAATCCTGGAGGACTGTAGCTTTACATGTTTTTCACTTACTGCAGGTGAGCAGAGGGTGAGAATAAACACTCTGAGATGTGGTCGGCCTTGTCACGTGTCACAATGGAAAAAGCCCAGGTGTAAATAATAGAATTAATGATGGCTGAATCCCATTTAGCTGCTTCAGTTTCAGGGTTCTGTTGTAACCATCATGACTTACTGGGGCATTTAAATAGAACAGAGCCACCGTTAATCTTATGAATTAAACCCGTGCTTTTTGTAATATGACAAGTCAAATTGTCTGCTGTGAAAGAAAGCGTATTGAGACCCAAAATTGACCTTGTGCATTTAAAATAAATGTTATTCACTCTTTTCCTAAACATTTTTTTTTTTTTAATTAAGTAGGTTTTGGAGTTACATTCTAAGTTATTCCCCTTCACCCATCAAGCGCCCTGTTTAACATTCAGCACCATGCTGCAGGGGTCTGAATGGAGAGCCCCCCAACAGGGCCAGTTATTGACTCAAACAAATAAATAGAATAAAGTAAAAAATTAGAATCTGCGTTTTTTTTGGGGCATATTTTCTCTATATATATTGTGTCAAAAAGATTTTTGTTTTACTTAAAAAGAACCCTTACTCATGTCAGGGTAAGACGTGACTTATACAATAAACAGATTTTTTTGTGAAAGTACTGCAAGGATATGGCTTTGCAAACTATTAATCTGCCATCAAAGTTTATTATAAAACGTTTAAAGACAGTATTATGCTATTTATAGGCTATTGACGTTTTTTATCAAAAACCTCAAAGCAAAACTATTTCCTTACCTTTATGAGTTGAAAGCCTGAGGAGTCCTCTTTTTTTCGGGAATAAACTCAACGTTATGGAAGTCGTTTCTACTTTCGGTTATCTAGCTTTATGCTGTATTTAAAACTCATACAGCTAGATAACCAAAGACAGAAACAGAGCCCCTCACAATCTCGTTCTGTAGCCCGACGTCATGCTGATTTGATCTGGAAGGAGGATGGAAATGGATTAGAAGGCCTTAAATATTTGAAAACACATGTAAGCAGTTTTTTAAATTACAATTACGCACGGAGAATAGCAGAATTGAACAAAACGAGGAAAATAGTTGGATCACATTTGTTAAAATGTAGGCTAACACATATTGTGTTGGTTAAAGAAGCTACAAACTAAATCAACCTGCCGTCAAATATTCCTGTGATGAATAACGTGTCTTGTAGAAGGCCTGTTTAATGTCTTAGTGAGGTAATTCTTAATAGTTTCAATTGTTGGTTGAATTGTAGCTTTGAACAGCCTCCTTCAAAAATATAAAATGATTACTTTAGGCTTTGGTATGAAAATAAAAACAAGAATTTGTATAGGCCGAAGTCAATGTGTGGGAGGCCCCTGCATTAGCATTTCTTGCAATTAACATCCGATTTATTTCCATAAGAAATCGGATATTGTAGCCTTTTCATCATTTACAAAGAGTCATATGTGAAACTTATGATTTATATTCATATAAACCCCGGAGAGACTTTAATAATCTAGTTTAAACTGGCAAAGGACCAAATTGAAATACAACCATGCAGGTCACATTTCACGTGCTCAGATGCATTCAAAAATATCACCTTCAGGTTATACTCATAGCCTACAATTCGTAGGACATGGCTGTATTCTGTAGATCTGTTATCTAACAATGTTTACTTTTACACGAGGTGTTTTTTTTATGTAAGGCCACAGTAAGACTATCTGGTAACTAAGAATGAATGATTTGTGCTATTTCACACCCTGACTAATTGTTATAAAATCATAAATATAGCCTTTAAAACTTAAAACCTGTAGCTATACATGTAAACAGGTATAATACAAGCTAAAACTGCAGAATATGTTGCCTGAAAAGTCTGTACGATCGCATGACCATGAACCCGAGCCAGCGTTAGGTAAAGAAGCGTTTCTTTGATGCAGCAGATTGACTGATGCCGAGATTCACAGCTGAGTCTTTAAAACAATCTACTTATGGAGCTGGGTTATAAGAAGCTTAATTTATTGGGTGTTCCCGGGGGCAAAGAATCCCCTACTTTTAATGAGAGTTGCAATTGGCCTACTTCTGCTAAAACTAGACTATTTCACACCACTAGGATTATCCCCAAAAGCTATTAGGCTACAGAAACCAATTTCTTACTGATCATTATAATGAACGAGGAGCGTGGTGTAATATTCTAGCACTTTGAAGAACAAGGGGTTTTGTCTGTTTGGGGACCAAAAACGTACCCTCATTTTAAATGAAAATCAAGGGCGTTTGTGGTGGTGGTTGAATATTATGCCATCACGTTAAAACACAAACAAAAGGTAAACTAAACATGCATGTCATGTTTCCCTAAATGTTCCGCATAAATGACACATGGACACGGCAAAACAGCAGGTTGAAAACACGTCAAATGTACGTTAAAAATAGCCTAATGTGTATTTCCAGGCGCGTGTCTTACCTGTTTGAGACGCAAAGCAGACTCTGGAGAGAAATGTCCTCAACTTTAGGTCGTTATGAATTTTCCTGATGGTTTTCTCTGCGTTTACATCGGGCCCTTGTAGAGAGCTGCTCTCAGGTGAGTCCGGTTTCATCCTCAATCCTCCAGCTTCTGCCTCTCCTCCGGGCTGTTCGCTCCCTCTACTCGCTCCGCACTGACGTCATGACAGGAGCAGGGCGGCGTGTTGACCAATCACAGAGCACCAAAGAATGCGTCAACAAGACGTCTCACTCCTCACAGTTTTCTAAATCTTTTTGCAATTTCTTCAACACCAATACTACTACCTACTACTACTACTACTACTACTACTACTACTACTACTACTACTACTACTACTACTACTACTACTACTACTACTATACTACTGCCACCACTTCTGCAACTACTAATACTACTAATAATAATATATTGGTTCAATATTACATATACTGACTTTAGTGTATCTTTTAACATTGTGGAATTCGCCAAGTTATCATCAAAATTCGAAATGTTTAAATTTCAATATTTTACTTTAGAACTTACTTCGAGGGATTTCTAATTAAAAAAAACGCCACACAGCGCCACAGGAGGTCTTTCCTCCCAGTGGCCATCAAACTATTTAACTCTTCACCCTTAAGTAAAGGGAACTGAGAACTTCCACACCAACACTATGTGCAATATAAATATAATTACCATCATTACAGTACACACGCTGTTATATAACTATGTGCAATATTAGTATTATTAATAATATGCTATGATAACGTGCAATTACGTAACTGCCACTACGTTTTATTTTTTGCACTACTAAATACTGCTAATAATTGCATTGATTGTGTGACCATCTATGTTTCTATGTTTCATGTTTTCTGTAGATGTTTAATTGCTCTAAAAACTCTTTTTACTGCACTTTTAGTGTACAGTTTTGCTGGTGTGCTGCTGTGTTTATTGTATTTGTGTTACTCTGGCACAACAATTTCCTTCGGGATAAATAAAGTCTTATCTTATCTTATCTATGAAGGAATATATTTAAAATCTTACACATGTTTTTTTTTTCTTTTTCAAGTCTTATAGTGCCTCTGCAGTTTGTTCACATGTTCAATATTGAGCTTGCTTGACATTTTCTCAGAAAGGTGATTGACTATATTCAGATTTACATGAGCAAAGTAATTGTTCTAATGTTGCCCATCTGCCTTGTTATACAGGTAAAGTAAGATTTGCAACTTCCAAAGTATCCACTTCCAATGGAAGTATCCAATGTAATGATAATACAATTAAAAAACATCTGGTAACAGAGGCATGCAAATGTTGCTACCTTTGATCGATATTTTATTCACTGGAAAATACTCTGTACATAGCATATAGTACAAGTAGGCTCTTTTAAGTTTAGAAAAGTCAGCTCAAAAAGATGAATTTCCGCCCTTTATGCAACTCACAGGGTTCTAACGGCTAGAGGCAGGCAGCTGAGTTTTCTCGACAAATAAAAGATCTTTGAGGTCTAGCTAGTATGTGGCTTGAGATCACGGGGGCCACGCTATTTAATAGTCTCTGGGGCCACGGCCAAGTATAAACATTTCCCTCCAAATCTGGACGGTCAGGACAAAAAAAAAGTTTAAAACGTGTAGAAACCACAGTGAAACAAAATGAAAATGGATAAAAGTAATTCCATGGCTTATAGCTGCAAATAGTTGAATAGGCACAACGGTTACGCTAATATTAAAAATAAAAAAAATAAAAAAGCTAATTGGTTCAGAGATTGAAATGGTCGGATTATGTATGAGACTACCACAGCATTCCAGTTTAGAGATAGGCTCCAATACATAGCTAACAGTTATTCTTGTTAATGGTTTGACCACTAAGCAGAAACATTTCTGGAGGTGTTGGAATTGTCTTGATCAACAAAGCAGCCAATTTTCCGGAATTAAAAATACTTTTGAGTTAGATAGTATAATCTGCATTAATACATTACTTGTACTAATAAATACATTTTATTAACTGAATAAATGTTTTTTAAATTAACTGAGCCCTATATGATTTCAAATGATGTATGAATAATAATTATTAATCTGAGCAGTTGTATTACATGATTTTGTACTTCTTTGCAATCATTTTGCAAATATGTGAACAACCAACAATAAAGTAGGAAAGTATTTTAAAATGCACTTTCTTTTATTGACATAATTGCCAGACTGATCCATGGGCATCATGTGAAGTACACAGTCAACTGCATAAGGCATGCACAAGGCACACAGCCATTCAAGTATGCAATGGGAACTTTGGAGATGAGGCAGCTCTCATCTATCTCTCTCTTTCTCCCACTCGCTAACACACTCAAAGACACACACATTTAAACACACACAAACACAGCAGAGTGGCTTTATGGGCCGAGGTAATCTTCACAGTATTCCAAAGATGATGTCTGGCTGGAAGAGGATACATTATTAGTGAGTTTATGTTCATTTTTAATAAGCTTTGAGATGTTGAAAATGTTCATGTTAAATGCTGCAGTCAGCCACTCACACGCTGCAGGAGGTGCTGCCCCGTGAAAGAGTCTGCATGCTGGCCATCCTCTCCCACTGCCTTGCAGCGGAGGTAACCATAGAGATTGGCCGCTTGGAGAGAAATACTAGCTACCACAAGTGACTGGGGAAGACAGACGATGATGCATTTAAAGAGGGGCATTATGTGATGTGCCTCTACTACATATGCAGGGCATGCACACAAGCAACCTGTGTCTCACCAGCCATTTAATCTTCAGGGAGAACAGGGAGGTGAAGAAGAAACATATCCATATGAGAGGGCAGATGATGAGACCCAGCCAAAATATCCTGGCCTCTGCTTCTGTCCCTATGTTATTGTCGCGGGAGGCCTGCACACATACATTGAAATGATCAAATGTGTAAAACCTAAATGCTTTTCTGCATTCAAAATGGCACACAATATCTTACTTTTTTGGCTTCAAACACCCAGAGGCTTTTCCCATCCTCGTCAATCTGATTCCACCAGCGCAGGCCGACCAGCAGCCTGCCAGTCACATTCTGAAACACAGGACAAATGTGAGAAATCAAAACCAGAGAGGTGAAAGCAGGGGATTAAACAGTACTGAAGGGCACAAGAGGGCAAGGAAGGGGTTAGGCATAGGGAAAATAGGGGAATTAGCAGCTGACCTGCACAACCTCTCACCTTAACAGACCAGAAGTCAAAAGAGAGCAGAGTGATGATTAGCACAAAACAAGATGCAAAGTTCTCGCTGATCCAGTCACTGAGAAGATAGGCAACAATGGCAACCACCCGGAAGAACAGGTGGAAAAAGGAGGCAAGGGGGTGTCTGAAAAGAAGGTTCAGGATGAGAAACGATGAAGACCCTGTATACACATGCCAATGACAGAATTGAAGCTAGCAGAGACAATTTGTGTTGTAGCCTACAGCAAAGATGGACCTTTTACTAAGACTGGTTACCTTTGAATCAAATTGTAAAAGGCTAACAAAACAAATGTGCCACACAGCAGGCTACTGTACTAGATAGCTTTATTGTCAAATGTAGTTAACACATTGTAAACAGTAGCCTACTGTGTGCAAGACAAATAAGTGAATGAAGCCATATAGTAAACATCCCCTGCAGCGCACCTTATGACTGCGCTTCTCCGCGCCCTCTCCTGCTCGTCAGCAGCAAAGTCCAGCTCCACATCCTCCGTGTCATCCGCCATCCTCTGACAAGCAATGACAAAACACAACAGAATGAAATCATCCTATCTTATACAATACAGACAAACACAATACATCTAGAGCTAGACAGGAAATACCAATTTGCATGGTCATAGATGTGCAATTCTAAGCGAAGTACCTTTGGGGCAAAGCGTAGGCTAGCTGGGGCTTGAATAAAGCCAGGTGTTACAGTGAAATAAGACCGACACCAACACACTGCCTCCTCAGTTATTACATCCACATCAAATACAATAATGCGCTGAATTTGCAACCACAATTGTGTCAATTGCGTAGCAGTTAAATCAGCTTTATGTCAATAACATAACAGTATGCCTTTTTTCTGAAGGGAACACTGTGACGAAACATAGTCATCTTAATCACAATATTACAAAAATGCGACCGCGGCAGGACTCGAACCTGCAATCTTCTGATTCGAAGTCAGACGCCTTATCCATTAGGCCACGCGGCCACGCTGTGTCCGTATTGGAACCATTTCCAATTTTTATGTAAATAATTACACGATCATGATGATAGTTATGATCATGTTAAGTTGTGAATAATCGATTATTGTACAAGACTGTTGCACGTCCAACAATGCTGTTATTCATATTATTTGTTTGTTATAGTAAAACCAATGCAGTCATCCGGACCGCTTGGGGTCGCTGGTAGGCTCCGTTTGTTATACTACCCAATGGTTGGACCCAGCGCCATATAGCTCTGGTTGGACCATGCTAGTTTACAACCTCATGTGTTGTGGAACTTTTTTAACATATTATGGTTGATAACTTTAACATTATACCTCATAGCACATATCGGGTGAGTTTTCTATTCTTTATTTCACGATAGTCTAGCTAAAACACTTGCTAGTGCAGGATATAACAGCTTTTATGTTGCTTGGCTGCTCAGAAAATTAGCACCAGTACCCTTGGGGCATGGGTTTAATGCTTCTAAATATAGGTTAGCAGGTTGGGGTTAACTTCAGTTAATAAAACCAAATAAGAAAAGTAAAGTGTCTGTGTTTCTGCGTGTGTAACTATGCTACAGTAGCTAGCGTTTAGTCCAGGTTTCCAGTACACGTATATCTAGCGTTAATGTAAAAGTTGTGTGATAAGCATGTTCATTCAACACACCTGGTTAAACAGGCTCTATTGCAAATGACTAGAAGTTAGCTTAATTTGAGTGAAATATCTGTAACCGTGTTGTTTGACCAAGACATTTACAGCCTTTGTACAATAGTACACTCACAATACATGATAAAATAATATCTTTTTGTTCAAATCTGTATCCCCACTATTTAGTACCTTAGTATAGCTGTATCTATTCCCAGTTTGTGGCTATCATTACATTACATGTGAGACAAACCTGAGATAAGTTGTATCATGACATAACATTGATGTTGTCTCTATGTCTTGCAGCTCTAGTGTGAAGTCCTCATGAGGTGATGCTGCATGTGTTGCGCTCTCCTCTGCAGAGGACTCTCATCCCTCTACAATGGAGATGTCAACGCTGCCTCTTCTCCTTCAAGCCTCATTCTCTTCAGGGCGAGGAGTCCACGGAGAACCGCATGAACCCCCTGAACATTCAGATGCTGTCAAAGAACCTCCATGACCAGATCTTCCGAGGGCAGGAACCAGAGTACAGAGAGGAGGAAGTGGAGCGCAGCATCAGGCACCTGCAGAAACATCAGCTGTGGGGGAAGGAAATTTCACTGCTGCCTGAAGTGGAGCTGAAGCTTCCCCAAATGTATGGCAACAATATTGACGAGCACTTTCGAATCTTGGCCCAGAAGCAAAGTCTACCCTACCTTGAGGCGGCCTCCAAGCTGCAGCTGGCGGAGATCCCTGCCATGCCTCAGGAGTGGAGCTGGGAGGTCGGCTGGACACGCTATGGGCCAGATGGGGAGAGTCAGAAGGTTGATTTCCCGGAGGAGACTGCACTGGTGTTTGATGTGGAGGTGTGCATGGCGGAGGGAAGGTGTCCCACAATGGCTGTTGCTATGTCTCCCACTAACTGGTGAGGAACAACAAGAAGTGTAAAGATCATGTGAAGGGGAGAAAAAGCAATGAATGGCATTATAAGGCCTGTCACAATAACTAGTGTTGTTGAACTATACATTGTCGCAGAAATCAATTGGGATTAACAATGTTATGGTCATTTTAGGACCATTTCATGCTACTGATATTATGATTATGTAATAACAAAATAATGCAATTACAGCCTTTTAAACAGCAATGGAAACATTTTCTCACTTGCCAGGTACTCCTGGTGTAGTAAGCGTCTGATTGAAGAGCGGTACTCGTGGTCAAACCAGTTGACGCTAGCTGACCTCATCCCCTTGGAAACATCGATCAACTCTGCCCGCCCACCAGGGGGTCAGTGGAAGGAGAAGCTCATAGTAGGCCATAATGTCAGTTTTGACAGAACATTCATTAAGGAGCAATACTTACTAAAGGTCAGTATTCAGACAGTGTTTTTTTGTTATTGTTACGTCTTCGACTCTTTACCAACTGACCTTTCTAGCCCTCTGTCCCCTTCCTTCTCCAATATGAATCTCTATTGTACAATTGTATGATACTTGTTGTATGAGTTACATTAGTATGTTTATGACATAAAAGTGTTTTCTTCACTAAAGGGTTCTAAGGTGCGCTTCATGGACACCATGAGCCTTCACATGGCCATCTCTGGGCTGACAGGGTTTCAGCGCACACTGTGGATGGCCAATAAGATGGGTAAAAGGAGGGGTCTTCAGGAGGTCAAGGAACACTTTAAAAAAGCTGGACAGAAACGGGAAGGTCCAGTGGTTAGTGCCATCATATCTAAGCTAAAACCTGCAATCTCTAGGATTTTGTCATTAGTAGAACTCACTTGAGACATGTTTTTTGTAAACAGATCGGCTCCTGGGACTGGGTTAATATTAGCAGCATTAACAACCTGGCTGATGTCCATGCTCTGTATGTGGGAGGACCGCCACTGAAGAAAGAGGCCAGAGAGATATTTGTGAAGGGCAGCATGGCTGATGTCAGGAACAACTTCCAGGTAAGATGTTCACCACGAATCCTATGTCAGATGTCCTATCAAAGGCAAAATGTTTAAGTAAGTCCTTGAAACGATTTGCATGCATCATGAAGAACAGACGGATACATGTGGGTTTGCTGACCTCTACAGGAGTTAATGCAGTACTGCGCCATGGACGTCGAGGCCACACATCACGTCTTCACAGAACAGCTTCCCCTCTTTATGGAGAGGTAAGTAAATCCCAACAAGCAAACGTTTTCTACTCACTATTATATGTACTAGATTTGTATCCAAAGCATGTAACATTGCGCTGTCTGCGATTCTGCATAATACTGCAATCTCTTTTTTAAGGTGCCCTCATCCAGTGACGTTCGCAGGGATGCTGGAGATGGGTGTGAGCTACCTCCCTGTCAATCACAACTGGGGGCGTTACCTGGAAGATTCTCAGGACATTTACGAAGAGCTACAGAGAGAGATGAAGAAATCTCTGATGACTTTAGCGGATGATGCCTGCCAGCTGCTGCAGGATGACAGGTGAGAAGAGCATCTACCAGGTTTTATGACTATAGCAATTTCTAAAATGTTGGCTTTAAGTGTGTGATAAAGTGAAAATGCTTTGTATTAAAACAGCCACATTGTCTGTAAATGTATATATGTTTTAGATATAAAGAAGACCCCTGGCTCTGGGATCTTGAGTGGGACGTACAGGAGTTCAAGGTGAAGAAAGTACCAGTCAGCAAAAATAAAAACTCCAAAAGGGAAGCAGAAACAAAAGTTGGTACTCCACTTCCAGACTCGGAAGAAGGTAAAAGTATTGATCCTGTTTAAGTATGATTTATAAATACTATAACAACAATTCCAGGTTAAAAATAACAGAGCAGATGATTAATTTGTGATATTAGACCCAGGCCCACCCTCTGAAGAGACAGAAGGCCCTTGCCCCAGCAGGCTGGCTGTGGAGAAGCTGAAAGACACATTGAGTCGACTTCCTAAGAGAAGACAGCATCTGCCTGGCCATCCAGGGTAAGGTCACTCACGAGCACCCAGAGCCATCAAATAATTAATATCTTTCATCTGACATGGTACTTACTGTGTCCTGCAGCTGGTACCGTAAGCTGTGTGAGAAGATGTCTGCGGGGGACAGCTGGTCCCCGGGAGCCAACCTCATCAGTCTACAGATGAGAGTCACTCCTAAGCTGATGGGTCTGACCTGGGATGGCTTCCCCCTGCACTACACAGGCAAACATGGCTGGGGCTACCTGGTGCCTGGACGCAGGGATAACCTGGTGTCAGAGGAGGAGGAGGAGGGGGAAGGGCCTGTGTGCCCTCACAGGTACCTTACTCTGTGCTTACATCATCAAGACAAGAGCTAGTTAATATTTAGTTTTGACATGTGGTTAGCATAGGATGTGTGTTTATTCAAGCTTTGTTTTGTCCTTCAGAGCTATTGAGAGTGTTTACAGAGAGTATTGTGAGCAGAACAGCAAAGCACGTCCTGAGTCTCAGGACTGCCACCCTTCAGAGGACCTCGTGTGGACGGACAGCGCCGTGTGGGCCAAGGTGCAAACACTCATATTACAATGACTTCATTCTTGTATAGACAAAAGGCTGTCTTTTTCATAAATATCCAAAATTACACTGTTTAGAAATCATATAAAGAGAAATGTTGTATAACTTTAAAATCATAATCATAATCATTAAAATGCCTGTACATACATTGCTATAAATTAGAGCAACCATGACAGCTAGTTACCAATGCTGCATGACTTTCAATTACTTTCTTTAAATTATGTAAATGACGGGATCAAGTGTTTTGGCTCTGAAATGTGTATTATATCGACTTGGTGTTAGTTTTGTATCAAAGCTACTTCATTATCAATGATCAATCAGGCCCAGGGTCTCTGTGATGTTTAATGTACATGATGGCATAGGTGTTTTTCTTTACCTAATTTTAAGGTGGAGGAGTTTGGCTCCTTGGAGAGTCTGACAGAGGAAAATGGAGTCAGAATGATGAAAAATGGGGAGAAGAAGACAAACAAGGTGTGAAATGGTCATGGCTTTTTTTGACTTTGTATCAAGAGCACTTTTAATGCATTGTTGTACTTTATTTCTATATTTCCATTCCTTTTATAGCCTTGATGACATTGAACGGCACTATCTGGTCTAACATGCAGCTTGTATTTCTTTCTATTCTTCACATGTTTCTATACATCATCATCTGTGATTATTTGTATGACACCATTTTGATTCTGTATCAACAACAGTTTCAAGATCCACATAAGGTCCCAGAGGAGAGCCACTGCCATCACCATGGAAACGGTCCCTACAGCGATGTTGATTTTCCAGGGTGCTGGTTTTTCAAATTACCTCATAAGGTGGAGTTTCACTGTTCTTCCTGAAAACCTAGCTCAACACATTGTCCCTTCACTGAATTATTTTAATCGTCTGACTAATTATGTGTTTCAGGATGGAAATCACAACAATGTCGGCAGTCCCTTTTCAAAAGACTTCCTGCCCAAGATGGAGGATGGGACCCTCAGGGCCGGACATGGTGGAACCAACGCTACACGAGCTCTGGAGATTAACAAAATGATGTCCTTCTGGAGGAATGCCCATAAACGCATATGGTACCTATCAGTTTCCACCATGTGGAATCATCTTGTAGTCTTAAAGATGGCCAATATATGATTTTACCGTCTTTGTAGTTCTCAGATGGTGCTGTGGCTGCGAAAGGCGGAGCTCCCTCGTACTGTCAGCAGGTTTGTCTATATATATCTATATCTATCTTCTTTATGAATCCGCCTTATTGTGGATAATAGTCATTGCTCATTATAACTACCTCCCTGTCTCCTAAAGACACAAAGAGTTTGATGAAGAGGGCCAGTATGGGGCCATATTACCTCAGGTCGTCACCGCTGGAACCGTCACACGCAGAGCCGTGGAGCCAACATGGCTGACAGCCAGTAACGCACGGGTAAGAGACAAAGCCGATATCACAAGAACTGAGGTGCAGTTACCAGCCAGAAGAGAAATGTTCCTTATAAACAGTTTATTTCGTGTCCACAGCGGGACCGGGTGGGCAGTGAGCTGAAGGCCATGGTGCAGGTGCCCCCTGGATATCACCTGGTGGGAGCAGATGTCGATTCTCAAGAGTTGTGGATCGCTGCTGTGCTCGGAGAGGCTAACTTTGCTGGCATGCACGGTGAGATTTGTCCTATTGAAGTGTTTTGAAGTTCTTTCTATATTTGTTTTCTTTAACCTGTAGTGATATTACATAATCTAGATCGTTTCGGTACGGACTCGCAGGCTTTGCAGATGGTAATACGGCTGGGGGGTTTAGTTTGGTAGAAAGATATTAGTTCCTACATGAAACTGCTCTCAACACGGTTTGTGGATTATTTTTAGTCAGGATTTCTGGAAGGAGACATTTTAAATGTTTTTTGGTGGTTTGATTATAAGGGAGAAGTCAGAGAAGTCCAGACAGCCCCTATCTCAATCACTAGATAACTCACACCCCAAACATTGAGATTGATAAATAGCACTACAGGTAAAAGGAACAATATGTATTTGGGATTTGGGGGGGAACTGTTAACAACATATTAAGGTTGCGAAAATCTGTTATCTGTATAATCTGTAATAGTTTCAACAGACAGGATGTGTTTATCTTGTGTCTCTCTGGGTTCAGGCTGCACAGCGTTCGGCTGGATGACCCTGCAGGGGAAGAAGAGTCAGGGCACCGACCTGCACAGCCGCACTGCAGACACTGTGGGCATCAGCCGAGAGCACGCCAAGGTGTTCAACTACGGACGCATTTACGGAGCGGGACAACCCTTTGCTGAGAGGCTGCTGATGCAGTTCAACCACCGGCTCGATCAGACAGAAGCTGCCAGTAAGGCCATGCAGATGTACGCCTTGACAAAGGGCATACGCAGGTACGCTCAAAAATATTGTGGTAAAAGTTGTATTCTTAGTACGTTTGTGCGATGAAATTGAGCACTAGTGCTTCATGTTTGTGTTGATGTTTTGTCAGGTACCAATTGTCCGAGGAGGGTGAGTGGCTGGTCAATGAACTGGATATAGAGGTGGAGAGGGAGGAAGATGACAGTGTCACCCTGCAGGAGTTAAGAAGGATCACTAGACTGGCCTCACAGTGGTAAGGGAGCAAGTTAAACATCACACTAACACTTGTCAGGAGCCTTTTCACTGTCTCAAAATGTTCTCCTCCATGTTCTCCCAAGTGCTCTGTTTCTCCATATTCCTCTGTCTTTTTCTGTGTTCCTCAGCTCTCGGCGGAAGAGGTGGGATCTGGTGGACAAACGCCTGTGGGCGGGAGGTACGGAGTCGAGTATGTTCAACGAGCTGGAGAGGATCGCTCATTCAGCCCAGCCAGCCACTCCGGTTCTAGGCTGCAGGATCAGCAGAGCCCTGGAGCCCGCGGCAGTGAAGAATGAGGTGGGGCAGCGGGAAAGATAACATTTTAACATAAATCGAATTAACATGGTGCTATTTAACTAGCGTGAGCAGGCAAAACCCTCTTTTTTCATGTGGAACTTCTGAGATTTGTAATGAAATATATGTATTGCCTTTTTACTGTCAAAAGCCAAGTAACTGTATAAAAAAAAGCATATAAATGCCTGTATCTTTCCCTAACTGGATGAGGAACATAACTACTGCTAATTGACAACAAAATATACCTTTTAAAGTAAGATTCTTTCATATTTGTTTTGTCAGTTCATCACCAGCAGAGTGAACTGGGTGGTGCAGAGCTCAGCGGTGGACTACCTCCACCTGATGCTGGTGGCCATGAAGTGGCTCTTAGAGGAGCACGACATCGATGGACGTTTCTGCATCAGCATCCACGACGAGGTGCGGTACCTGGTCTGCAGCGAAGACCGCCACCGAGCAGCGCTGGCTCTACAGATCACAAACCTGCTCACAAGGTCTGCTCCCAGCTGGGTGTTCATCCTCCTGTTAGAATATCCAATATAGAAAAGGCAGTTAACATGGTAGCTTTTTTCTGAGTGTGTGCTTGTGTCTCCTGCAGGAGCTTGTTCGCCCATGCGTTAGACATGAAGGACCTTCCCCAGTCAGTAGCTTTCTTCAGTGCCGTCGACATTGACCAGTGTCTGAGGAAGGAGGTCAACATGGACTGTGTGACCCCCTCCAACCCCACAGGTGTTGAGAGAAGATACGGCCTAGCGCCTGGTGAGTTCTGCACACCATCATCCGCCTTTACTACATTTATTCAAAATATGTTTTATACCAATGTGTGATACAATGTGCAAAACTAAAGGGTTAATTAACAATCAAATCCCTGGAATCATGTGCACCTAAAAAAGTTTTGCCTATTGAATTAGTCCAAAATAAAAACTATATTAAAATGCCATTTGACCTTTTCAGTATCCTTTCAGTTTATTTGCACTGCTTTACAAAGTCATGCAACAAATTTGTGCAGATAACATTAAATACATCAACATTTTTGGCTTGGTAAAATGCCATGCAAGATACAATATAAAAAACTGTTTAAGTGAACAGAATAACAAAGAAAACAATATTTATTTTTAAAACAAAACAGCACTAGAAACAAAGCTTGGTTTCTCTCCGGGATGCATTTATGTGTATTGGACACCATGTATCCACTTCTTCCTTTTGTTCAGGCAAGTGGGGGCATCTTAGGGAATGCTATATGTAGTGACAACTGTTCTTTGCATACAATAGCAACTGATTACTTAAAGTGACAGTAACAATTCACATTTACCTATGGTTTAGAAAAAACATCTCTTGAATATAAAATTAACTATAGGAACATAACCAGAGTGTTAATCAAAGTGTGCAAACTTTTCACAGGTGAGGCCTTGGACATCTACCAAATACTGGATATCACAAGAGGCTCTCTGGACAGAGGGAGATAGCACTGTGTGGGAGAAGCCTCTGTTAGTCAGAACAGCTCAAACGCACGACTTAAAGCCATTCAGCAGCTGGGCAAGTTCCACATCAGTGAGGCTGATTCTTAGCTCACTGTTTCCTCTTCTTCTTTTTGGGCTCCTCCTTCTCCTCTGCTTCCTGTGACTCGTTGGTCTAAAAGAGATGGATGAAGAGTGAAAACAAACCATTACAGTGTGAATGTGTAAGGATGACAGACCCTTTTGTAGCTGCAGTGTTAGAGTGCACTGACCTCCGGAGTGCCGTCCTGCTCCTGCAGAGCTGCGTCCAGAGAAGCAGCGTTGATGCGGAAATCTCTCGAGGTGCTCAACTTCATGTACTGCATCAGATTGACCTGAACAGAGAAATACACAGCTGCTGATGAAACACTGTACATGAGTGGTCTAACTGGTAGCAACACACTAACAGTGTTCAAGGAGCCATTGATCTGTTTTACAGGGATCTTTATATTTTGACCTCAAGTATTTCAGCTCACATACCTTTGATTTTTTTGAAAGTGTGATGAGGAATTTCTCGTACTGTTCAATACTGAAGATTACGTTAGGAATGGCTTTTGTTTCACGCAGAAGTTTTGCCTGCCGAGGGAGAAAAAAATGTAAGTTTGTTTTAAGTTGTTCATTGTATCTATACATTGTTTTTGATACAATAAAGAAACTGTTAGATTGTGAATGTATTGCTTTTCTTATCAAATCACATAAATCAGGAACTAAATGTTACGAGTTGAATGTCCTTACAGAGGCAGCAGTGTTCACTTCATTTCTTTTCTTTTTCTTCTTGTCATCTGCCCCTCCAATGCTCATTTCTCCACTCTAAAAAAAACAAAAAAACATCAGCTCTTCCTGTTTTAAGTTGCTGTAAATAATCTCAAACAGTTCAGAATAACGGAAGTGACGATGAGCCTGAAAACCTGGATCTTTGTCAGGGACCCGTCTGAAGTGTACCTGTGCGTAAGTGATGAAGGAGTAGCACTGTGGCGTGAGGTGGGAACCCGACAGTTTCACCTGCACAGAGAACACTTTATTACCGTGACACCTGAAGTAATAAAGTTAAAACACTATAAACAAAACCTCTGACTCACCAGCTTCTCGAGGCGTGCCGACAGTGCTCCGGGCTGACTGGCACACACCTGGATGTACTAAAGCAACACATTGGGACAAATTAAAAGTCACACTCGACAAACTCTACATTAATACTGAGGTCAAAGAGTGGACACAGTTAACGCACGTATTTGACGAGCGTGGTGAGGGTGGTGTAGGTGCGGCTCAGTTCTCTCAGCAGGGTGATGGTACATGAGCCAGGCAGCAGGGCGGTCTGCACCAGCTCGTTTAACGCCGTCAGAAGGGTCCCGAGCTGCAGCGTCACCGCTTTCTCTATGGGATCCTGCTGGCCCGCGGTCTGGGTGGCCCCCCCTACACATCAGGGACATCACAAGTTTTAGTGCCACTCCCTGACAGAGACGCATCTCCTCCCCTGTCCTCTCCCAACTCTCACCATTAATCCGACTGAATTTGTGCGAAAAAGCTTACTTACCAGGACCCGGTGTGTCAGAGGGCGCCTGGCTTTTCTTTTTGGCAATCAGCCAGTCCACTTCATCAAGCACTCTGTCAACCTGAGACAGGACCAGCAGCTGGGAAGAGACATTAAAGTGATGAAGATGCTGAGCAAACACGTTCTGAGATACTGATGTCGCAGCACATCAGGAGCTTCTGGTTTATTAGTAAAAAAACACTCACTGTGGCTGTGGACGCAGTCTTCATGTTGACTATGGCAAAGTGAGACTGCTTTTCCACTTCTACATCCTGAACGCACAGAAAAATGAGGCAGGACAAAAAGTGACATGTTGACCCAGGTAGTAGGAAAGAGGCAACTGCAACATTTGAATTGTATCATGATTTGATTTTTGAGAATATCGTGTCTTCAATTAATAGAATGCCCAGCCCAAACAGGCTTACAAAATACAATTATTTATTATGTAGTCGTTTATTTCACATCATGCTTTAAACCTATGGTAGCCAACTTGTTAGCATTCAACAAGGATTCAATATTATTATTAGAGCAGCAAAACAACACTGGATTTTGAACAGATATTTAAATGTATATAGATTTTCACAATTCAGAAGAACATGTGACACCCTTTCTCCTAATTCACACAACCTGTTGTCTTTCTGGCTGTTTTTAAATATGCGAGCCTTGAGAGCCTGAGAAAGGATTTTTGTTCTAAACTGTGCAACTAAGACATTTGACTCTATTGTAAGTTGGCTCTAACATAATATCATGCCATATTTGTGCATAATTTGTATATATGACTTAAGCGAAATCCCTTTTAATCATTTTTCTTCAAGTATACGCACTGATGCTACCCTGGGCCTTACGATTGTTTTGAAAGGGGTGTGTGTGTGTGTGTGTGTGTGTGTGCGTGTGTGTGTGTGTGTGTGTGTGTACCTGATCGATGTCCCCCAGCTGGCTGTGGATGTCCTGGCAGAGCTCCAGCAGCAGGCTCACAGGACTCTTGTAGAGAACATGCAGGCTGAACAGAAGAGACAGCAGACCCTTGGAGAAAGCAGAATCCTCTAGAAGAGAGAAACAGATCTCAGAAGAACCCACCTTACTGTGCATGAACGCAAAGATTCATTAACCCACCCCCACTCACCAAAACTGGTCTCCTTGCAGATCTTTACAGTCCACGTAATCATCTGTACAAACTGCAGATGTAAACGTGTGTTAGGGGAGAAGGTGCTAGAGAGGTTTTTGTATGAAGTGCTCTTCAGAGGTTCCCCTACCTGTTGGGAGGTGGGCTTCAGCTGGCGTGAGAGCACAGTCAGGATGCTGACCAGCAGCTGAGCCTCCTTGCTGTTAAATTCTTCCTCTCCTCCACTTAGCTGAGTGAACAGCGCCCTCTGTTGACAGGAAGAGAACATTGGATTTCAGTGCACTGTATTTAAAACATTGAAACATCTCAGGCAAACCTAACTCCTCGTATAACATTGAAAATGATGTTTAGCCTGACATGCCTTCAGTAAAATCAGTTAAGATATATATGAAGCGAAGTTTCATTTAATCAATTAAAAGAAGCGATGGATACGCAAGACCTTTAGCTGTTTAATCCTAAAATACATGTTTGTAACTTTTAAAATATGTAGAGAATAACCAAATCCATTCTGTTTGGATGCACCTGAAACTGTCGGATGTAGAAGAAGTTCATCTCAGTGACGTTGCCATCATCTGGCTCAGAGTCATCCTCTGCGATGTCTGCAGAACAGAAAATGTGATGACTTTCTGAACAATAATCAGTGTTAAATTCACTGCTTCAGTGCTTGTCTCACCCATGGTGGAGAGGAGCTGGACCATCCTGTCTGGAAAGCGCTGCTGGCAGGTGGTGAAGATCCTGAGCAGACCCTCCAGACACAGCAGAGACAGGCTGGAGCGCTTCTCCTTCTTCCCCCCGTCCTCCACCGCGCTGGGGATGTTGGTGTAGCGCCACATCAGCACACTGGATAATGCAAGGATAGACCTCTCAAAAAAAGACATACACATGGGAGTAACTAGAGCTGTTATTAAGGCCAAGGAGCCGGACCTTGTCATGTCACAGAGGAAGCGGAACGTTCTGTCTGTGTTCTGTCCGTCCGGCCCGTCTGTGTGTCCGCTCTCCTCCAGCTGCTGGATCTTCTGAACCGCTACGTTCACCGCATAGCGCACAAACTCTCCACTTAGGCGAAGAACTGACAGAGCCTCCTCTCTGCTCTGAGTACTGTCTCTGAAAATACAAATATATTTTTGTAATATTCATGCAACTTTAAGAATTTCATCAAACAATCCAGTGGTATTTTGTTCTTGAAATGTGTTGGTGTTGTAAATCCTACTATGGAGTGAGAAACAGTTCATGGGTTTACAAAGTATTTCTACCTGAGAAGTTCATTAAGAGCTATAAATAAATGCTATACAAAGTGCAATTCAATTAATTTTAAACATATTATCTAGAAAAGGAATAAAGAAAGAAGTAAATGGTGCATTTCCTCATTGTAACAGTATTTATAAAAAGCTATTTTTTTAGGTCTATACATCATTTCATAAATTGTGATTTGATTGAATGACAGATAATCAAACAGCCATCCAAAGCATGTACCTGAAGAGCACAGTAAGGAGAGTAGATATGAAGCCCAGAGAGAGTAAACTGCGGGGGGTTTTGTTTGAAGGCACCCGACCCTTTCCTGATTTCTCCTTCAGGATCTCAGACAGTTTGTGGTAGCGGTTGAAAAGCTCTATGAGCTCCTCAAAGCGGTTTTTACTGAAACACAGAGGCAAGCACACAAATAAACAACAAACTCACCACTTTAACAACATTATGCTACGCAACGCGCTGAGAAAAGAACCAGGTGTTACCTGTAGTTGGCTTTGATGAAGTTGAACTCCATAAGGATCTCATAGACTCCCATCACCAGCACAGCGTAGATACTATTCTTCACACCAACACTGGATCCAATGGAGAACTCAGCTGACTTGTCCTGATCAACACACACACAGTACATTATGTCATTGTGGGAAAGCCTGGAAGCTGGAAGGGAGGCAATAAAATACAACTGATATACAATTTAAAAAAATAAAATGTTCATCAATGCGTTCCTGGGAAGAGATTTTGTATTTGCTTTATGCTTGTACATGTCATAAGCTTCCCCATATTTTTCTTTCTTTATTAACCGTATTAACTTACAGGCTTGTACAGGTCGCTGAAAGACAAATCAATTCAAATAAATGGATGTCGATCATGGGAAAGCTACGTCGATAATGGTAAAGTTGAGCCAAACCTTTGAAAGCCATACAATTTGGTTTAGTGTAAATACTGTATTTCTATCTTGAATTAATACCAGTTCAAAGTCCTCCAGTTCACTCTTGATCATGCGTCTCGTCATGCTCTCTAGGATTGTCTCTAGTTCAGACTGGTATCCCTCCTCCTCTTCCTCCTCCTCATCCTCGTCATCACTGTCGTTTGCAACTGGGTGTGCAGATCGTCGCATGTTCTGCAGCCAGAGCAGGCAGTGAACAGTACAGCTCAACAGATGGGCCTGAAAGGGAACAAATACTATTTATCAGAGACATTAACACCGCAAAGAACGGAGCCATGCAAATGCTTCAATGCAGACAAAGTACCAGCGGCTCCTGGAGGAAAACCTGGTCTCCGAGCGCCGTGATGCATGGTTCCAGTTTCACCGGGGGAAGGAGGTCCTGCTCAGGCTCGTAGTACCGCTTCAGCTGAGGAAACAAAGACATGAGATACAGCCGTCTGTTGTAGATAACTTTACAATAACACCTAACCCAGTATGCACTAAACACACACAAGCGTACCTGCGAGAAGAGGGTCTGCATGATGGAGCTGGCAAGTTGAGAGTTGCGACGGAGTACATCATAGAAACCCTGGAAAAGGGGGGGGAATACAAATTAGTATACATGTCTTTCTACACCCTTAAAGCTATATACCGCACAGATTAGAGAGAATCAGACTCAAAATGTTGAAGGAATGTTCCTTAAGTTGAGCGATGTGTATGCAACATGCTTAAGTTGGAGTAAAAAGGTTTAACAAATCATGGTAAGAAACTGTAGCACCATGTAGCGAATTTTAAAGGTCCCCTATTATACTGTTTTTCATCAATATATTATAGGTCTCAGATATATACAAAACATGTCTCTGAAGTGTTTGGCTCCAAATACCAAACAGATCATGCATTGTAGCATCCCATAATCCCCTCTGTTTCAGCCCTGTTTCAAAAGTGCTGATTCTCTGTCTTTTACTTGAGATGAAAATAAGGAGCCCCTCCCCACGCCCCTCTGAGAGATATTTGGTTAAAAAGAACACAATGGTGCTCTAGGAGGAGATTCAGGTGATAAGGTGGGGGGGGTTACCTTGGTTGGTGATTGGCTAATGGTTACACAAGCCAAAAAACCATTATGACATCACAAAGTGGCCAAAATCTGATCAGCTCATTTTCAGACAGGTTTTTATAAAAATGGATCAGGAGAAGGGACACATATTTATGTATAAAAGACATGAAAAAGTGGATTTTGCATAAAAGGGGACCATTAAAACAACTACTAAACATGCCATCCAAAAGAGAGAGCTCGAACCTCATAGAGCATGAGACGCACGTCAGCCTGCTGACCGAGGCAGCGCCGCAGGCTGCTGAGGATCTCCAGACAGAACGCTTCATTGGCAGCAGAGTTGTAACGAGAGTGAACGTCCACTTGGACCTGTTCAGGGGTTCAGACACGGGGTTATTAAAGGAGCTACGATGTTAAAAATGGCACATATTGTTACAGCCAATGTTGCTTTTCTGCACCGGCATGTAGAGAAACACCACATAAAGTCTGTACCTGGCTCGAGGACGCCGCCTGGCTACACTGGCTCGAGGCCAAGCTGCCCAACACTTTGAAGTTCTTCAGCAGCAACAAGAAGCCGGTCACTGCAGACTTCCTGCCGTCCAGCTGGCTACAGGAGAGTCATATAGGATAGTGTGATAAATTAGCTTTACCTCAAGTGTTACACGTCTCACTAAACTACTGTTAAAGTACCACATTTCTTTACAAAAGCATCATTCATTTAACTATAAGGATAATACTGATCTGATTAAAAGTGAAGCAGTACATACCTGGAAAACATGGCCTTACGGAGAACTAGAATCAAAGCATCTTTCAAGGACATACTGACTTTGAGCAGAGGCTGGAGAATAAACAGAAGAGAATGATTAAACAAAAAATACCTCTACAATGTGTGTGTGTGTTTTGTGGGTGCACGCGTGTGTGTGTTTAGGTACCTGGACAGCTTTTAGTAAACCCTGAACAGTGGTCAAGGGCAGGTATGACAGATGGTCAAATGTCTCTGTCACCTTGGAAGAGGACTCCAGGAGAATCATGGGAGCAGAGACCACAATGTCAGAGAAAAGGTCTGATGATACAGAAAAAAAGTGTAGTCTGTTACAAGGATGATTAAACACTGGTGTACACTTGAAAGCTGGGACTAATATGTAAATGTCATATTACCTAAATAATGATTGACAGGTGAGGCTGTCTTTGTGACCAATCGATTCAAGACCTGCTCCAGTATCTCGCCTCTGATAGGCTCGTGCATCTGTTGTAGAAGAAACAGACATTCTCCAATGAGAAAATGTAACCCTTAAAGTCAATAACCAGTCATTAACATTGTGGTCAAGAAACTTTAATACCTTAAAGCCCTGCAGGAGCACCTGTCCTCCCAGCTTACATGCTTGCTGAGTGGGGGTCCGGGCTATGGTAGAGGCGCCTTCTATGGTCTTTCCAAATGGTCCAGGTTTGGGTCCAAATGCATCCATAAGGGAGAAGCCCAGCTGCACCAGCCCCTGGGTCACATGATCCCAACCAAACACGCTGCAGAGGTGGAAAATCATGTGAAGAACATTAACTACCAATACTGTGTCCCTGAAAAATGTGAGATGTGTATCTTGGCCAACCCAGGTCACAGTTGATCCAACAATTACATTAAGACATCGCTTGAATCTGACCTGTTTTTGACTGTGTCCAGGATCATGTGATCCACGCTGCAGGGCCCAGGCAGAAGGTCCTGCAGGAACTTGGACCCCTGCTGCAGCTGCTCATCCTTGAAACTCTTGACGATTGCCCCCTTCAAAAGGTCAAACACCTAAAAAGGACTTAAATAAGTGAACGGAAAATAAAAAGACTCAAATGAATATAAGGAAAATAATATAGATGCCTCACCTGCTCTTCATAGCGCTGAATGCGTGCCACTGAGAGCAACAGTGCCACACTGAAAGGGCACAGGTCCCCGTAAGAGGTCTGTGATTCAAGATTTATGGCATATTTTACGTTAAAAATGCAATCAATTTCGAAAAATAACTGAAAAATAACAGACAGATGAGTTTCACACAACCTTGAAGTTTTTAAGGAATTCTCTCCCGAGTTCATGGTCGAGTCTTATAGAAAAGACTATGTGGAGGATCACAGTGCCCTCCACATGCCTCAACTGGTCCTGAGGAATAGACTGGACCTCTAGATCCAGGCTCCTGAGAAACAAACAAGGAGGAGAAAAACAGTAAAGTCAGTATGATTTGGAATAAATGCACTTATTTCAACTTGCAGGGTATGAGCCACTCACTCTCCGTGTTTCTGCTCCTCTTCCTGGCGAACGTCTTGCTCTTTAAAATAACAGATGATTCCATCCAGGACCTGTTTCTTACAACCCTGTGAGGTAGTCCAGGGCAGGCATTTAGCACAAAGAGGGAGTCATGATTACCCGTTGATGCTGTGACACACACACATATACACACACACCTTTGCGGATAAAAGCAGCAGCTGATAAACCAGTGGTGGAATCTCCTGCAGGTCCAGCTTAGTGAACATCCTCAGGACTTTCTCCACCAGAAACTGCAGCTCCTCTGATGACAGGGGTACATCCCTAAAATGTGTGACACAAAAACATGGTTTATAAATATTGCATGTCCTGAGAGGCAGCACAACAAGAGTAATAGCAGATAAAACATTGTTATATCACTGTAGAACTTTATAAAAAGCAACAAATAAACATAAGGTTCTTTAACAGACGTATTAAAGAGTCTGAAATGTCTGAGAATGTGACGCTCTGATAGTCAAAGGTTTTACCTGAACATGGTCGTCAAGTGGATGACACATTGCGGGTCCCATCTGCAGGAAAAGAGATACAAACATCCAATAATTGCAATACTGTTGTTTAAGGTCCATATCAAAAGGTTTTGGCTTAACTATTTTTTATCAGAATAGAGAGTGCCTTCATTTTTTTACATTGTAAATACTGTCAAGAACCCCAAAGAAACTTGTGTAAAATTGCACATGTGAATATAGTAAAAGATCTGACTTGTCCTCACCTGCTGGAGCACAGGCTGTTGATCAGCTGTTTCTTGTACCCCTCCCCACTGAGCTCACCTACAGTTATGATAAAATGACAAGCAACCGCAAGAGAAACAGATTTGTCATATTTAAAATGTTGTATATTACACAACTAACTAATAAATGACAAAGTTACCAGTAGGGCTGTGCAATTAATCGTATTTTAATCGCAATTACGATTTTGGCCTGCCACAATTATGAAACCAACATAATCGAAAAAAACGATTATTTTGGTTGTGACCGTGCACTGCAATATATTTGATCAAATTTATTTGTATTTATCATATTTATATATGTTTAGTAGCTTGTTGAAGTGCGCTCCAAAATATTTGTTGATCTTGTTTATTGGTATATATTATTTTGATATTATTTATTTAAATGTAGATATAAATGTATCATTTATTTTATTTATTTTTGTATTGGTTTTTTAGTTGAATTATACGCTCAGGGAAATCAACAGTTAAAAAGATACTGTTCAAATTATTATTTGTATTTAAAAGTTCAATAAATGGATGTTTTCAAAGTCAATGAATAATCGTATTTAATAATCGTGATATCAATTATTGACCAAAATAATCGTGATTATGATTTTTGCCATAATCGCACAGCCCTAGTTACCAGGGCTACCAATTTACACATACCTTTTCCATAGGACAACGCTTCACAGGCTGAGAGGGCAGTCAGCACAGTCGGAAAAAGCTCCAGGGATTTCCCACTGCCCATTTTTCCCACCTTAATGGCTTCAACAAAAAGAGAGGCCAGTTTTGCAAGAGAGGGTCCGGGCAGAGTATGAGTCTGTGAGAGGCAAAAATAGCAATTAGACAGATGCATCAGTGCTGGACAAATTGAAAGGCATGGAGACACAATATGTAGGGACATTTTTTAAATCTAAAAAACGCATACACAGATGGGACAGCAACTCAGCACAGGAGTCAAGCATTTATATTTTGGATTAAAATGTATAAGAAATAGAGGAAGGTAGAGTAATTCGGCATGTTCCCAAACAATGTGGTTTTAATCAGTAGGTTTGGTGTAAGGATATTTTAGTCTTATGTTGATGATGTATCAATCAACGTTTCAGTCGTTTTTTTTGCAGTGCAGAGAACTTGTAACAGACATTAGAATTGAGAGGTTTTTTTTTAACTTCTCATTGAAGGACTAACACGTTTTAAGCACAGTGAAAACACAATCTGGACAGTTTATTTAACATTATTGATCTAATTTTCTATGGGTCAGCAGTAACACAATTGGTAGGGACTTGGCTTGGTTACCGTAGGGTCGCCGGTTCAAGTTCTGAAAAGACCAAGTACAGAGTGTGAACTAGTACATGCCAGTCCACCTACTGGACATACATTCATTTAATTTCAAACCTTTATTTATCCAGGTTGTATCCCATTGAGATCATTGATCTCTTTTTCAAGGGAGACCTGCTCAAGTAGGTTCCACATGAAACATTAAAAACTTAAACAAAACAACAAAAGGACATCATACAGTATCATTACAGGGATTACAATTTACATAACTATCCACATGAACAGGTACCAACAGCTTCCGATTGAGTAGCATCCAACCGTGCTTTAAAAACATTTAGTGGCACCAGATTGCTCAGTTTCCATTTCATTTGCAGACTATTCCAGGACAGTGGAGCTGCGCATCTAAATGCTATCTTCCCTAAGACAGTCCTAGCAGTTGGCACATTTAATAAAACCACAGCATGCGATCTCAGGCAGTAGCCACTTACAATTCGCCGTGAGATCAGGGAGCAGATACATTACATTAATAACATTAATATTAATAGTAGCATGCTTGGTGTCTTGTATAAATAGATGCTCTATAAAAGCAGAATATATCAACTTTGTTGTACCTCCAGCATCAGCAGTCCAATGATATCAGCTGCCACTTCAGTCTGAAGATCCCCAGACTCACACAGAGGGATGCAGTGTTGATAGACAAGAAGTCTGCGGGTAGATCCTTCAGTGGAACTGGATGGAGAGCCTAAACAAATAGCACACAATAGAGGTATTTTAAAATTATGTTTAATGCTTCTTAATACAGATATGATAGTGTTAGCCTAGTAGTTGTGTTGTGGACATTTATTCCACTTGTGTATTTAATTAACCTACCTTTAAATATGCCTTTTATCATGGTTCCGACCTTCTTACCCTTTAGGGCACCATTCGTTAACACGGTGGTTAGCTAGAAAGCAGACAAAACAGAGGGATGTGTTTCGTGAACCGACACTGCCAGAATAATTTGTAACTATATTTATAACTTTAAATATGGTGGGCAATTTAGCTTTACCTGGTCATTTGAGAGGGACGACAGGTATTTCTGAAGTTCGACGGTACTGTCTCCATCTGACAGACTGACGATTTTATCCATGTCATCCTTCATGATTAATCTATAAAAAAAACACAAGAGTACGGTAACGTAAACGTAGGGATAGGAAGAAATCACCCGTTGTTGTATACATCAGCAAGCTTGTTGTTACTGTAGCAAAATGTTACATTTGATAAACTAAATGGACAAATTACAAGTGTGTTACCTCTATTTGTCGTTAAGCTTAATTTGATCTTGTTTTCGATTCGATTTAATTCAGTGAACTAGCTAACTAGTCCATGAAAAGGCAAAGCCAAACCTTCAGCAGTTGTGTTATACGCTTTCATAACATGTAACGAATTTCCCGCCAGCGATCACTTCCTGTTTTCCTTCATGGTTGCCATGTTCGGCTCACAGTATCCCACAATTGCAGTTTTTGTTGACGTTTTCAAAACAATATTAATGAATGCCGTAAATTACGAAAAAACAACACAACATGTCTTAAAGTATAAAAGGATCGCTACCTCTATACATCTGCACAGCTCTCCACTTTGTACAATTATAATACTGCAACATTTTTAATTGTTGCGAATATTTCATCATATGTTACTCATTTGTTTTTATATTTGTATATTTTTTAGAAATATTCCTCTATATTTTTGAAAATTGTGTTTTTTAATAGCTTTACTTTTGGTCATTTTCTTACAATTGAACAATGTAATGTCTACTTACTATGTATGCACCATACACACCAAAGCAAATTCCGTGTAGACTATGAGACGACCCACTTGGTCATACACCTGATATATCTGTATAAATTCCAGTTAAAATATAACATCTAGAAGCAGGTGCTGCTGTGTTTATTGTTGGCATGTCATTTTATGTTCTTTAATAAATATACATATCTTGCAGTATTATCTTGAACACTTGGTGGCGGTGATTAGCTGCACATGGGTGTATCAATGGGGGCATTGGTAACAGGGCTTGGTTGTTTCTTTTGGCTTTTCTTTACTAGAACCGTTCGTCTTGATTATCTTCATTTGATTATTCACGAAGATGAGCTGAAAATAAAAATCATTTATGATCTATAGACCTCCGCCTCGGGCTAGTGGCGCAACGGATAACGCGTCTGACTACGGATCAGAAGATTCTAGGTTCGAATCCTGGCTAGCTCGAACTTTTCACTGTCAATCCATAACTTGAGCAACATTTATTCCGATAATAAACAGTATGTATATATATATATATATATATATATATATATATATATATATATATATATATATATATACTATGTAGTATATTACTTAAATATATCAATATATAAAATAAGCGAATTTATAAACGTTTACCATTTCTATAAATGATATACTTAATTTCGCAATGTTGGGAAGAGAAGTACTCTCGCTCGCCGGTATCCGCAGAGTCGCCTAACATTTGGAGACGCGGATTGGTCAATTCTTGGTAGCGATTCGAGCGCTGATTGGACATAAATCATAATTCTTGGTAGAATCTTGGTAGCAGACGGGAACGTGATTGGCTGTCACTACCAAGAATGAGCTCGATTCACAGGTGGTAGGCAACGGAACTCGTGCAGCGTGTACGTTTCTTTTAACAGCTCTATTGGAGGATCCAATAAAGTTAGCCAAATGTGTTAATTGTGTAATTTAAGGAAAATATATATGAAAACAAACCACTAAAGTATTTAAAAAATGTGCGAGTTATACTTCTTAATCAAATAAAAAATAAAGTAGGCCTAATCAATTTAAAATAAGGTCCTTTATTATGGAGAATTAGGGGTTTACTGTGTGTGTCTGCCAGTCGCGTCTGGCTATGTATTTATGCACAATACTTTATGTAAAACGTACTGTTTGAAGTGCATGTGTGCAATTATGATATATTCCCCACCAAAGCATAAGGTGCAGAAACGTTCTTTAAATCTGGACCTTTTGAAGCTTTTATGAGCTAATAAGGGGAGGGTGATAAAAGCAGTAGGGCTTGTATCATTTCTTTCGATAGTGATGTAAGGCCGGGGTAAGATAAATTGCTACGCTGTTTACGTGCACTGACGTGACGTCGGGAGGAATGTCTCTGCCCATGCTCACAAGGACAGGAGCAGATGAGCCAGACTGCTGCAGCTGATAAATGTGATGTAATGTTGCCTGTTTACTGAATACGAATGGCTGTCTGTGCCAGGCTCTGCGGAGTGGGTCAGTCGCGGAGGTGTCGGCGGCGACAGCGGCAAAACCAGCAGGGTCAGGGGAGCGATTCTGACATGGACGAGGAAGAAGAGGAGCGGATCGTGGGGCTGAAGCAGAGCGACGCTGGCGGCGGCGGAGGCCCGGAGAGCGGAGCCGCCACTGCAGGGCCGAGTGACGCTTGCGAAAATGGCAGCGGTCATGTCAACAGAGGCTCTCTGGATAGCACGAGCACGGGACCTCAACACCCGCAATCATTGGCGGAGTTACCCCCGGAGCTTTTAGTGGAAACGTTCTCCTTGCTTCCTGGAACTGCACTACCGAATGTCGCCCTCGTATGCAAGAAATTCAGACAAATCCTTAACACTGAAACCATCTGGAGAAGGCGGTGCATGGAAGGTACACATAGCTATTAGTGGACATAGAGATACTTTAACGTTATAATGCTACAGTAAGCGTTGTATTATGTTTACATACATTGACCAGGACATATGATATTTCATTTTTGTCGACAGATTATTTGTGTCAGGCTCGGTGGCCAGCTCTGGTTCATAGGAAATGTGTTCCCCTGAAAGCATTTCTATTGATCTGCAAGGGAACCGCAAAGGGGGAATAACCCCAGTGTCTGCATCTTTAGTAAAGTGCTGCTGTAAGAGATAGACTATGGCCTCTTACTGGTATAGGGCCAGCCATTCTCTGCAGCCGAAGAGACTGTTGATGCAGGGCGGTGCTAACCCCTTGGGGGCCTGGTGCATTGTTATGATCACCACCCCCAGCCCATGTTGTTAGTCAGGGGACTGCGCTATTGCAGGTTTGAACAACTATGTCTCATAGTCATAACTCATGCATAATAAGATATGCATACAATGCAAAATATGAAGATGCGCTGCTAAAACAAAAATAAATAATACAAAAACACTTCTTTTCCAATCTATTCGTTTCACGAAAGTAGTGGGCAGTGCCAAAGTTACTCTATTATGACATGTAAGATATTTATTGCGAAATACTTTTTTGGGTAAATCAAACAAGAAGTTATTAATGGACAACATAACCACACAAAGATCCATATTGTCAGCTTGCAGATCTGCTCATTAATGTACAACATTGCCCACAAAAGCTAATCAAACATAATGGGATTAATGGGATAAGATAAGATGAGATAAGATGTACCTTTTCAGGAGTTTAAAGCAGCAACAGAGTGACACTGAAAAACAGTACAGATTCACGCAAGGATAATGAAATATAAAATAACATTATATAAGTAACGGTTAAAATTATATTTCACAACAAGGTAAAACGTTGATAATTTGAATGAACATATATACATATTTGAGTTTGGGTTATTACATATATGTACATGTGTGCAGATGCGATCGATACCACAAAATAGATGGTCTTGAAACAACTCTGACAGTACAAACATCAATAATAATTGTATCGCCCAGCCATACTTAGAATCATTTATACATTAAAATATTAGTTATTTGCTCATTCCAGCTTCTCTTGTGTGAGAACGCACTGCGTTAATAGTTTTCATCACATTATGAATTGAATTTTGAATGCCAAACAATGGGCCTATGTTATCTGACGTTTGGTGCACTGTGAGTTTTGAGTTTTAAAAACATGAGCAGTTGGCTGGGGTCTCCATTATGCACTGTAAAGGAATCAGGGAGTCAGGAAACTGCAGGCTGTGTTTAGTGGCAGTTTAGTTCACTTGTGCCTCAGGCCAGCTGTGTGTTGAATCTTGTGAATCATTGTGAATCTGGCTCAGATCTGCTTATCGGTGTCTGCTGACTGAAGTTCGAACGTGGTGCCCATTTTGCTGGCTGCTGTGCAAATGTCCTGTTCCACTGCTCTTTGGTTAGTGCTACAACATCAATCAGAGTTAATCTGACTGTTGCCATTATTAAGTGTTGAGATTTTGCATTAATCTGCCATAATAAATAAACACTTTGGTACAGATACTTTGAAATAATAGCATCAACAAATGAAATGTATTGTTAATTGGATATTTTCTCTTGCCTTCTCTTTTTGCAGAGTTTGGAATGAAGGAGGATCTGAGGAAGATGGAGGTGGAAGGAGTATCTAGCCGGGACATTTATGTTAAACGTAAGTTGGACTGATTGATAAAACAGCTCTCATGTCACCATTGAAATGAACTAATTAAGTATTTGGTTCATTTCTACATTAGTTAGTTAGTAAAACATTTCTGATCATTTATTTACAATACAACACATTGTGTATCTCTTAACCACATTAAAAGTGGTTAAGTGATACTAAATCATTATATAAAGAACAAAAACAATAATAAAAGAAATGTAGGCTGAAAACAGAGCTTAAAGGTGGGGTAGGTAATTCACTTCAGAAACACTTTTTGTTATATTCCATGGAATGCTCTTAACATCCCGATAGCAATGAATATATGAAATGCTTTGACAATAAATACATTAAAACATTTCATCTGTGGAAGCCGTAGCGCTGTAAAAAGCACGACCAATCATCTGAGCCGGCCCGGCTAAAATAACTGGATGGCCTACCTGCCTGTCAGCCTTCCATCTGTGCACAAACTTATCTCGTGCCCTCATTGGTCATGTGCGTGTTCGTGTGTGTTGGAGGAGGGGCTCTGTAAGGAAGTCTGAAGGAAGAGGCAGATTTTTTCCGGTTGTGTACTTTCAAATTCTAGCGCACTCGAGCTGGTTTCTCCATTCTTACCTACCCTACCTTTAAGGTGCACCCCTTAAAAAAAACCATTAACTTAATTCTACTGAAAAGAGCAATGTAACAAAACAAACACAAATCAAATATAATAAAGAACCACAACATCATAAATCAGTATCAAATAATCTAAATAAATAATTAATAATTGTCTTTTATTTCTCAGTGATGGCCACACATAGTGTATCTTTCAAATATAATGGATTTGTACATTTTTTAGCAATTACAAACACGCTCATATTTTGTCGTGTATGTGGATTAGGTGTCCCTAATTTAGGCTGTGATTTCAATGAAAATCAGTGGTACAGCCTTTTGTAATGGTCTCTCACATATGTTCCTCATTTGTTTATCAGCAGAGATTTTGAGTTTATTTTCAAATACCAGTTGCTGCAAGTCAAAGTGGTGGCACCTGTCGGCTCTTTGAATAGATTTTGGCACAATACT